ATATAGCTTTTGTAATATTACACATTTCCTGTCAATGAAACACAAATAGATAAACCAGACAATAGGTTTTAAGTTCGAAATGTATAGTAGAGACGGCTGGTATGGGTGTTAAAAACTTTAATTAAAATAAAGTATAAGAACAACGTTTCGGCCTTCTTAGGTCATCTTCAGGTTAACAAAGACAGTTTGAAACTGATCGTTACTGGGCACATGTCTTGGGGACGAGAATGTGAACGGGTACGAGATTATAGGGGGCGTAGCAGTTAGATGTTAAGTGATTAATTAATATAGGCAAAAAGAAGCACCTTTATGTTGATTCAATTTTGGTTTGAGTTCTTGTATAATTAGGGCTTCTTTGATTTTGAGTTTGTTTGTTTGTTTTTCTCTACTTTGTTTTAAGTTCTTTATTATTGTATAAGTTGTTGAACGGTGTTTATAAAAGGTTTTGTCATATGAAGATACAAAAATGAATATAGATAAACAAACGTATCTGTATATACAGACCTCTTTCTTCTTCGTGGTAGTGTTATAAGAATCATAAACGTTTTTTGAGTTCTGCGGAGCAATATGCATAAAATCTCGACAATACTGTTGTTTGTTATTAAGCACAAAGCTAAACAAAGGGCTATCTGTGCTCTGCCCAACGCGGTTTCTATCAGTATAAGTCCGCAGATATATCACTGTGCCACTGGGGGGCTCTCAAGGTTTCATACTACTACTACGCCAGTATGTAATAATATCTTGGTTATTTACATAAATACATATAAAGCGGCGGACACAGCACAAATAGCCAGCACATTATGTAACTTTCCGCTAAAACAAACAAATCTCCCTCTCTGTCTATCTATGTATATAGATATATCAATACATACATTAATACTGTTAGAAGAAAAACTGTGACCAGGGTCATAATTATGTCACAGGCTAAAGTAATCAGATGACAAGGAGCTATAACCACGATCAGGTCTTACCAACTTTACTGTATAGTTCAGGCTGAGCAGTGTATACGATGGTTTTTGTAATACAAAACCAAGGGTGCTGGATCCAGTGGGGTAAGTTGCCTTACCAATAATTGACCTATAAGATTTTTCTAATATTTATTTTCAATACTTTTGTTAATGAACGACGTTTTGCCCCATCAATATTAAGGGACGGCCAGGTTTCTTCTTCTTTGAAATTAATTTTAAGATAAGCGATGGCGTTGTGACTGATAATTGCTAATTTGTGTGTGTTGCGTGCGCTCAATGTAGGCCGAATATTACCGGTACAATACATACACGGCCATGACCTTAATAGAACTACAAACCGTATAAATGGAAACACAAGTGTAATACATATACATAGATGTATCCAACGGGAATCATTTCCTTACCTTGATGCATTTTCATTGGTCGGCAACAATCTGTACCAGATGCTTGTAATTTTGTATCCTGCCGTAATCTTTTTTTTCGGTGTCTCTATTGCTACTCATATCACAAATGATCATACACAGCAAGTATGCACAGTGAAACATTTATCTTAGAGATGCAAAACTTGTGTAAATTCATTTTTCATTTCTATAAATCATAATCATTAATCATATTAAAATTTAAATTTAAAAAGGCATGCAAATTTTCCACTGATTATTTGCGTTGTATAAGCAGTAGTAAGTTCTTGGAAAAAACACCCACTGTAATATTTACATCACATGCGTAGAAAAGTGGTATTAGACACGAGCATATTTTTTTTCTACTTTAGTGATATTTTTATTACGGTTTCCTACCCCACCAACGTAAATTTACTTCCGCTTAGTACACATCATGTTATACGAATACACGTGTAAGTCATATATACCCTACATTTCACGTGATCTTGGGATTGAAAACCTGTTTTATTTCTATTCCCGCTAGGCTTATGCTGATTGTCTTTTAGTGAGTGACTTGATAACCCACAAACCTTTCTATTGCGGTTACTTGTTATATATACCGCATTGTATACAACATGATTTTGTGGTGATTTTGAATACGTGTTGTTTCAGGCTTTTAGCTAACCACAAATTGTTATTACATAATGAATCAGTTTAGAGAAGAAATACGTCACTGATATTCGATAAAAGGACCAGATTGTTTATTTCTCTAAGAAAGTGCTTCTTAAACTGTGGTTCATGGACTCCCTTCAGGTGGTCCATGGAAGTGTTGAATGAAAAAGAAAGAAATAAGCAGCATAGTAAATAGAATCCACTGTGGTTCATGGCTTCCTTCAGGTGGTCCATGGAAGGGTTACACGAAAAGAAAGCAGCATAGTAAATAGAATCCACTGTAGTTCATGTCTTCCTTGAGGTGGTCCATGGAAGGGTTGGATGAAAAAGAAAGAAATAAGCAGCATAGTAAATAAAATCCATTGTGGTTTATGGACTCCCTACAGGTGGTCCATGGAAGGGTTGGATGAAAAAGAAAGAAATAAGCAGCATAGTAAATAGAATCCACTGTGGTTCATGGACTTCCTTCAGGTGGTCCATGGAAGGGTTGCATGAAAAAGAAAGAAATAAGCAACATAGTAAATAGAATCCACCGTGGTTCATGGGTTCCTTCAGGTGGTCCATGGAAGGGTTACATGAAAAAAAAGCAGCATAGTAAGTAGAATCCATTGTGGTTCGCCGAGATAGAAAAAACAAATTCAAGTGTTATAAACCTACAGATGTACTGCTGAGCCACTGGGGGCGCACCTAACCGTGCAACAAAACTAAACATTAAACAAACTTTCAAGATTTAAAATAATTGCCTTTATTTACAACCAAAGGACTGTAGTTGTTACAGATGTTTTAAACCAAACATTTTCCTCCAGAATATGTTGAAACTGTATTCTAAGCTTTGTTTTTCAATTACTTATTGTGTTATCACACGTTTTTTCTTCTTATTCTAGTGTTGTATTCGTTACTTGTATTCCTCTGTTTGCAGTTAGTAGAGCTTTCATTTCTTTTCTTTTTTACCTTGAAATGTCTTGTCCAATTTCAGTGCTAAATTGCGAAAGGATTTCGTGCAGTCACTTAACACTACATCTTGATGAGATTTTAAAGGTCATTATATGAGAATGGCACGAAGCAGTGGGGGGAAATCCTCGTTCACAAACCCACAGATGTTATATGCTCACATGTATTCTAAGCAAATAATCTATTACAAAATATCTACATTTTCAAACTAGTGTTAGGCGAATTACGGAAATATAAAAACACGAAATTAAGCCCATTTTATCTATACATGCAAAGTAACTGTGACTCAAACTGTTTAAAAATATCTATACACTCAACCTGTTTAATAATATATTCAAACTGTTTAACAATATCTATACACTCAAAATGTTTAACAATATATATATATACACTCAAACTGTTTTAGCAAAAAGAAACAAAAATTAAGCTTTCTCAGTAATTTTTTTAGTATACGTACACACATCATCTTAGCTAGACCGCTATTATACTTGTTGTATCTCAGCCGTCCTGAAGAGCATTGGTATTTGGCGGAAGGACTCGTCGGCACTGGATATAAGAAATATATGTATTGTCAATATATTATTACATATTATTCTTTGCTTTCACGCATAATTTCTTAGAATTGTAATTGCATAGCTCAAACATAAACATCATATAACATATCATATTCAAGTAATTCTACAGGGGTAAAATATCAGCGACACCTGTTTCTCAAACTTGTTATATAATCACAGGAATTCCCCGAGATTATTCACATTGCACAACAAGTCAGTATAATGTTGCATTATCACAAGTAAGTAATTTCATTTCACAATAATAAGATTTGTCACTGAATAACAATTTTTACTTCTTTATATATATATGGTTACGAATGATTAGCCAAAACCTTATACATGCCTATAACAAGTAACGGATATAAACGTTTGCCATGATAGAGAGAGAAAAAAAAAACGGAGCGGGGCCTGGTGGTTAGCATGCCCTGACTGTGAATCTGAGGATTTCATGTTTCACGTTCCCTTGCAACAAAATGCACTCCGCACTTTGAGGCTATGGGTGTGTTATAAAAGAAACGATCAAATCCCACCTTACTGTCGTATAGACAGTATCTTCCCGAAGAGTTACGTTGGTGCTGTACTTCTAAAACAAAAAATACTTATAAGTCTCTCCCCCCCCCAAAAAAAAAAGAACATTGCAGGTATGAACCTATGTACAGCATAATAATATCAATTGCTATTGGCTACAATAATACTAAACTGCACTATTTTGACGTGTCCATGAATTATAATTATCTCATGGCGTTTGTGTGTCTTTAGACCAAATCTTATTAGCTAGCATGCAAATATTACGCTATATTAACGGTGAAACATATCCCCCCCAAATGCCCTTTTTTTCTCTATCATAAAAATTGTCAATAACTACGAAAAGTTACAACTGATTCTAATAAATAAGACACAGGGTCTTGTAGGATTTTACAGTAAAACAAGTAACCACTATGATTTGTTATTAAGAGTTACTACGCTATAATTCACTGGTTAGTTTTAGATAACAAAGGTGGTGATAAGACAAACTGAATAGGAATAAAGAAGGATCTGTGTGCTTCTTATATTTTTTTTTTTACCCTATGTGTACTAAAAGCAACCCACAGTTTCCATAGCATCTAACAACCTCCCCCCCCCCCATCAAAAGTACAATAAAATATGCTTGCCTTACGTTGCTTGAACAGTGCCAGTTTTTGTCAATGACCCCCTGCCCTTTCAACGTACTCTGCACATTATTGGGATGAAGACTCCAAAAGGAATACTTCGTGCTTCCTTATGTCCATAGAGGACTTTTGTGGTAATTATATATTTTTTTCGTGATATGTATTTTCTCTTGTATTTAAACCGAGTCCTGTCTCATGCCAGTTGAGTGTTCTGCTGTCTGAGCCTCCTAGGACTTCCAAGTAAGATAATTTTTTTATTATAAAAACTACTCAAACTACTACATTTCTAACAGGTTTACAGATAGTGCATGAGAAATTCCTTGTCGAAATTCTTATCACCCAAATATATATATATATAAGTATGCATATATCAAAGTGTTTTAATTCACTAAAGCTTTGTATGCACATATTATGTATATATATGTGTGTGTATTGATACACACAAGTACTTATACCTCTACACACACACACACATATATATATATGCTGAAGATTAGTCGCTCTTTATAAGGATAATGTTCCAGATCACGTGCTGCCCTTGGAACTATTTCCTTCATCGTTGTTCGTGCTCATTATGATGGCAGTGATTACACAATATTTCTTGACACCGCAATTTACATTTTAACAAGTTTTTGCGAAGGACGGCGAGACATATCTTAGGCCGCACACTTTGACAGCTTTCCAAGCACCTTCTACTGTCGTGGACGTCGGTTTCCAAGACCACGTTGGCAGACTAAAGACATAATACTCTACTGGAACTTCACTTTGACAGCTTTCCAAGCACCCTCTACTGTCGTGGACGTCGGTTTCCAAGACCACGTTGGCAGACTAAAGACGTAATACTCTACTGGAACTTCAGTGAAAGACGTGACAGGTCTGTGATTATATTTTTCTCATGAAAGCATATGTTGGTTTCCAGGTGTAGCTAGAAGTGCTAAACGTTTTGTTTATGAGCCTCAAATGTTTATCACTTTGTTAACGTAAGAGGGAGACGTGTTTAGTTTCATAGGGACCCGGCATGGCCAGGTGGTTAAGGCACTCGACTCGCAATGTGAGGTAAGAGTTGGCGGTGGGTGGTGATGACTAGCTGCCTTCCCTCTAGTCTTACACTGCTAAATTAGGGACGGCTAGCGCAGATAGCCCTCGTCTAGCTTTGCGCGAAATTCAAAAACAAACAAGCATCATAGCAATGATTTTACTGGGTGAAAGGGTTTTCTGTCGTATACGTAACCTTTACTTTGCAGATTGGTGCCCTATTCGTTCTACTGTGCCATTTTTCCCGCTTTCGTGGAGAACATTGAAGGGTCCTTCCTCCAATATTTAATTGACCATCATATAACTATCTCGCTGTATGAATACTTCTCTTCGGAAAGTCTGTCGTGGCAGAATGGCACAATTTAATAGTCAGGAGTTCGATAAGTATATAGGTGCTGATCATATTTCGTGGCACCGTGTTCGCATCTGCAGCTGTACGTTAACTGTATTAACGTGCATATTAGTATTTATAGAGTGCAATTTACTCTGTGGATGTTCGCATAGATTCATATAAATAAAAATACAGAACAAAATAAGCAGCATTCCGACTCTTCTATTACCATGTCAGTCAATACAACTATGATGCCTCACAGCGGCATGTCTGCGGACTTAAAACGCTAGAAACCGGGTTTCGATACCCGTGGTCGGTAGAGCACAGATAGCCCACTTAATTTCAAACGAAGCGAAAGTAAGGCAACTATAATATTAAGTTGGATGTTTGAACTCCGGAGACTGCTTTTCAGAAGGTTTTATTAAACACTCTCTCTCATAAACTTCAGTAGTACACAGTGAGTTGTACGAAAGAAAAGGCGACAAACATGTCCTATAATATACATATACCTTATTTCTGGAATTATTGTAGTTAACTGTTCTGTTTTATACTGGAGGCTTATAAAAAAACTCCATGTTTACAATTGTTATATATTAAAAACTACTTGTCGGCGGGGAACAGAATTACGTTATTCACTAAGGGTGACAGAAAGAAGAAAATTAGTTAAAACAGGTAAGTCTGTATTTTGTGACCACCTCAGTGAACTTTATAGGATTCTATACGCATTATAGCACATCAACCACCAATAATTTCCTAAACGTGCTACTTGGTGATGATAAAACATAATTTTGAAGATCAAGTAATCACTATAACTCTGTTGCGGCTCATATACACTGTTTATATTTAAAGTTATATCGCAAAAATCTGTGACATATTAATAGAAATACGCTGGCCATAAAACTACTTTATTCATTAAATAATTCCCTGGAAGATTTTCAGAGTTAGGTTAAAGTAATAATGTATCATTTAATATACTGAACACAATATGTTATGTACCATGGAGTTTTGACAGCATCCACCAGAAGGTGTTAAAACAATAATTTCATAACTTAAAAAGGCCCGACATGGCCAGGTGGATAAGGCGCTCGACTCGCAATCTGAGGGTCGCGGGTTCGAATCCTCGTCCCATCAAACATGCTCGCCCTTTCAGCCGTTGGGTCGTTATAATGTTACGCTCAATCCCACTATTCGTGAGTAAAAGAGTAGCCCAAGAGTTTAGGGACGGCTAGCGCAGATAGCCTCGTGTAGCTTTGCGCGAAATTCCAAAACAAACAAGCAAACATAACTTAAAGAATCTAAAATTATTTACAGTGATACATCATTGATTGTTGACAATATATTTACCTATTTTCAAATGAATACTTAGTGATAATTTAGATAAAAACTGGTATATCACAGTTATTTCCAAGCAAATAGGACGCATATATAGTCATAAGGGGCACAGAGCCGATTTTGTTCATTTGTTACAATCGAAGTATTTTTCATATATTGCCTCAAGAATGCAATCTTTTTGTGTGTACTGTTTAGCTAAATTATAAGTTACACGTTGTGAACTGGAGAATAAAATTAATAGATTGTGGACAGAGAGTAAAGGTAAACTGAATCTTGTGGAGCATTATTGGGATTACAACCGAAAGCATGTTAATAGCGAGGGTACTCAGTTGATGAGCCAGTGTATTCTAATCATTATAAGTTTTTGTTATAGTATATTGTATACTCCTAGTTAGACTTGTATATTAAATTAACTACGTTGTCTATTAACTCGCTTTGATTAAAAGTTAGATATGAATTGTACACCTGATTTATTTCCTGCCAGTTCGAATGACTTTATTTTTTGTAATATTTGACCTTTCGCTCTGGCTAATTGATTAGCCTTTTTTTTTATTCCATAGAGAAGATGCAGTAAATAATACAGTAATTTGCGTCTTTATAACGGTGTTTGCTCATGCAATTGATGACGTAAAAAGCGCTTAGACCAATACTATGCCTTTCGTATCCCAGCTGGCCTGATGAATTCTGGAACTGGGCAAAAGGCCTCGTCGGCACTGGATATGAAAGATATAGTGTGGTTGATGTATTGTGACATATTCCTTTTTGATTTCACTCTTAAGTTCTTAGAAGGTGTATATATTAATGGCATATAAGATATCATTGTGTCTAACGCAATTAGAAAACACTTATATTGTATAAGATATATTTGTGTGATTGGCTGGAGTAAAAAAAAAGTCTAAACTAAATGGTCATATGACGTAATGCTATAAATAATACAAAGAGCGTTTATTATTTTTATTAATGTTAAAATTGAATTATTTTCTAATAACATACCACGGACAATTTAATATAGAAGAATCCGAATTTCAGATTTAGCATGGTGAAAGGAAATGAATAATTTCGAGATTTCCTTCCAAACTTAATGATTACATTTCGCATATTATTCGAAATAGTGTTAACCCAAATAAGCCAATCTATTACATATGT